GCTAGAAAATCGGCCGTATGAAATTAGCAGGGATAAGGTGATTTCAAAATAAATGCAACAGGCTTGCTTTTTTAAAAAAAAAGAAATTTCCCGCAAAAGAAAATATTCGCAACAAAGAGTAGTTAAACAAGACTGTGTTGTTAAGCAAAAAAAAAAAAGACAAGGAAAAAAGCCTGTTCTTTGAGGGAATTTCTCTAGAATTAAGGAAATTTTTAGAATTTTTCTCAGGGTTTTTTCTGGAAAGGCGAAAAAATCTGTTTTAAAAAATACTCGGTTTTTAAGGTCCGATGTCTGAAGGGTCACGATAGCGAAGTGTTTATTTGTGCATGGAATCCAAAAAATGATCTCATTGCTTCCGGGTATGGTTTGTTTTATTCTTTTTTTTTTAGTGAGATTTTCGGATGAATCATAGAAATGCGTTTTTATGTTCGAGGGTCAACTACGAGGCATTTATGCCATTTTGAAGATTATCTCGTTCCCCCGGAGTAATTTATTACAAAATGATGTGGAAGAGTATCCTGTAGTTTCTGTAACGAGCAAGTTCGGGATGAAAATTTTGAAAACGTGTTCTACTCGCAGATTTTTCAAGTTTTTGATCTCTGTTTATTTAAATATGGAATATTAGTCAACTGCATAATTCACTTTTAAGAAAAAATTCTTCAGCTGGAGCAAATGTTTCTCTTTTAAGAGGTTTCTTTTTCTTGGGAGGGAGGAGGGAGAAAGGGGAATGGAAGGAGAGGGGGAAGGGGTTTTTTTTCTTTCATTAAAGGCTAAAAAGAAAATATCAGGTGAAGAAGGAAACAATGAAAAGGAGAAAAAGAATAATGAAATGGGGAAGGGGTATAAAAAGAAATATTTGTTATAGGTAAGAAATGTTTCGGTCCATTAAGTCACATACATTTCTTACCGTTATATCGCTCCCATAGATTGCATGAGTTCCGCTCTTGTCAGAAAAAAACCAGTAATTGCTCTAAAATATAGTTTCATGGTTTCTTGCGAACTTTTGACGCGTGTTTTAGCACAGAAAATGAAAATTACTGAATTAGCTTTCAGTGGTTGCATCATGGAGACTGCCAATAACATTAGCTGAGGGGTCCAAGAAGAAAAAGCCCGGCTGTGCATTTCTGTTTAAATTTTTGAGTTTCGCACAGTTTCTGCCTGGTGAACAAAGGAATTGTGGCGGACAGGATATGCCGAAAATTCTTCGGAATTTTAGATCCGGTGATAGTACGGCACGTATCTGGAATATGAACGGTTCAGAAATAGCAACCACATCGGCGCAAATGCTTTATGAAAATTCGATGGTACTCAAACACTGCATGCAAAAAGATGACCGAAATCCGCCAACCAATAAGGATGTTACATCGTTGGATTGGAATGTTTGTCTTTTTTTTTTCTTTTTTGGTTTCTGTCGTGCTAATCATATTTCACGTATATAAAATTGAGCAGTTGTAACAAAATACCACTCGTTCTTCAGTTTTTATTAAGGAAGGGACATGGGAATTTAAGTTCATTTGTTACTAACTGAACAAATCTGGCCAGAGGCAATGTCTTCTGGATTAGTGCGAAATTTACAAAATTACCGATTTTCGGAAAATTTCGGATCGAAAGCCTTATTTTCCAAGTACCATTTTATTGCACCTGCTGTGACATACGGATGCGAAACGTGGTCACTCCGAAAACGTGAGGTCAAATGGCTACTTGTGGGAGTGCTTGAGTAAAAGCTGTTTGAAATTTTGTTTCGTAGCTACACCGATGAACGAGTGCCAGTGAGTAGTAATTGTATTAAAAAAAAAACAGCTGCTCCTGGCAGGTCTTGAAGAGATAAAATTTTCTGCGTAATAGAAGTGACGGACAGAAGCGGATGATATATGTCTTGGGGTAGAAAAACAAGCTTTTTGGCAGATGCTTTGCTCCCTAGTAATGTGGTAACTGAAGATCGATAATCCCAACGATTTTAGAAATCTTTATGGGTCGTGAAAAAGCTGTTGTAGTATTATTTTGATTTTTTTTTTTATAGTGCACTGGTGATTTATTGGCAACAGGATGTTACGATGGTTATGCACGAGTCTGGGCTACTGATGGTATGTTTCCGTGAGTTTTCAAGCTCCCGGGATGAATGCTCTGAGAGGGGTTTTTTGACTCAATGGAAAAAAGCACCCCTTTTTTAACCTCAGTCTTCCTTGACACACTGTTGAAGTTCGTTGAGGAAAAAATTTTGAGATTTTTATTTTATTCATCGAAGATTTTAACAATTACTGTCATCAGAACGATTGATTTTCAAAGAATTTATTCGGTTATTGTTCTTTTTGTTCAAATTTCTGTTGTAAAATAGACGATGGTGTGTATTTTTTAGGAAGGTTACGGTATACGTTGGGAGCACACAAAGGTCCCATTTTTGCCTTGAAATGGAATCAAAGAGGCGATAAAATTTTAAGTGCTGGAGTTGATAAGGTTTGCTTTTTCTATACACTACTGCACTGTGATATCTTCATGAGAGAGGTGCTCTGCTACAGTGTAGAATAAGGAAGAGGAGCGTGATGAGTTTGAAAAAAACGAAGTCGAAATATGAAAAACTTCACCAATTTTTAAGTATTTCTTTTCTTTTTTCATTTCTTAAGCAGCTCTTTGTCCCCGGCATTCATTATCACGCCATCGATGCAGCTGGCAATTTCTCCATTCAGCTCGTTGTTGCGCTCTCCGAGTCCACGTGGTACTGTACAGACGTACCGTGGGATCTCTCCACCTCGTTGGTGGTCTTCCCAGTGGTTGCTAGACAGTACGTGAGTACGATCCGGTTATCCGCTTCGTCCATCTGTTGTCTGTCATCTTTGCCAAATGACCAGCCCATTATTAAATGTGAGGAGGAAAAGTGAAGTTACAAGATATGGAGGTAGGACTGGGCTGGAAAGAAAATGAGGGAAATGTTTTTTTTCGTACTGGCAATAATACCAAACATTTTCCCAGCAACATCTGCTTGAACAAAAAAAGCATTTGAGTCTGCTCTTTTCTTCAGTACATTTGTTGTATAGTTGTTGCTGCTCTGTACTTAGATACTTTGATCATCTGTTGTTTTTCATTGTCACATTCCGTCTCGCCATTGATACAGCTGGCAATTACCGTAAAGCCGTACCATGGAGTCTCTCCACCTCACTAGTGACCCCTTCAGTATTCGCTTGACTATGCATGGGTACCATTCCATTATCCGTTTCGTCCATCTGTTATCTGTCATCCATGCCAAGTGGCGATTATTTGTCTTTTCTCATGTTTCGATGAATTTTTTTTTCAGACAACGATTGTTTGGGATCCGCTGAAAGGTATCCAGATGCAGGTATTTCAATTTCACGCC